ATGGGATGGAAGCAGGACCCTCGGGAGCAGGTACCGTGTGAGGGCCCCGGGCACCGGGTGGGGAGTGCAGTGGGGCAGGGGGTGTAGTGCAACGCGGTGTAGTGGGGTGCAGGATTATGCAGTGGGTCGGTGGGGGGGTGGTGGGGTGTGCAGTGGGGTGGGAATGCAGTGCTCTGTAGTGGGGTAGAGGGTGCCATGCAGTGGGGCAGTGCAGTGTAATGCAATGGGTAGGGGGAACGGTGCGGTTGTGAGTGCCGTGGGGTGGGGGTACGCTGCATTGGGGTGGGGGGTGCAGTGGAGTCGGGGGTTGTAGTAGGAGATGCAGTGACTTGGGGTGCAGGGTTATGCAGTGGGTTAGAGATGCTGTGGGGTGGGGGTGCAGCAGTGAGTGCCATGCATTGGGGTAGGGGGTGCAGAGGCAATGCAGTGCAGTGGGTGGGGGGTGCAGCAGGGGAGGCAGCATGGTGTGCAGGGAGGAGCTGGGGCTCCGTTGGGGAGGCCATGCGTTGCTGGGGCAAGGCAGAGTGGTTGGGGCTGGGAGGGGGGAGCTAGTGCAGCTGGCTGGTGGGCTGCGAGTGCCTGGGGCAGGGGCAGTGGAGCATGGAGGGTTGTTTCTGGCTGTGGGAGGGGCACTGTGCAGCTTAAGGGATGGACCGCAGTGGGGGCCAGTTGGTTTGGTGCTGGGGCACATGGCAAGCAGGCTGGGGGGTGGTGAAGGGGAAGAGGAGCAGCAGGTACAGGCGTCCCGTGGGGGTGAGTGGCCCTGAAGTGGGGACCAGGAAGGCTGCAGAGAGCGGGAGGGGGTATCTGAGTGGACTGTGTTGCAAGAGTGGGGTTTCTCCAGGGAGAGAGGGCTGCACTGGGGGGAGGATAGTGCAGGGGCTGTACCGTGCTTCACCTGCTGCAGGAGGGGGTGCAGGATGTAGCTGGCCCAGCAAGGGGTTGCAGCTCGCTATGTGGGGTTAGAAGATGGGAGGGGTCCTTTAAGCTGCCTACCCAGCTGGGAGTCTTGTGTGGCCCAGTGAGGGCTTCATGGGGTGCTGGGAACAGAGCTGGTTTTAGAGGAGGGGGCTGCTGACTAAGCAGGGAAGGCATTGTGCTATTTCATGAGGTGGGGAGGGGACCTGGGGGGCTTGGGCCCCTGTGAAGGGCAGTGCAGGAGTCGAACAGCAGGTGCATGTCCTTGCTGAGGGCTGGGCATACATACAAGTTCAACTGCCATGGTCCCGGACTGTCACAGGCTCTGTTATGGCACCAAACCTCTCAAGTGACTTGTTTTTCAAGGGGTGGCAAACCTATCTTGCCCCCCCATGTTTCTTCCCTACCCAGCCTCTGTCTTTGTGTGCAAAGAAGATGCCTCGGGTAAGAGGTGGCAAAAAGAGCCTGGCTTGGAAGTGGGAACGATAACGCTCTCTTGTTAGGACACAAGGGCCAATTGCTGCTGCTTTCTGGTGACAGAATGAAGCGGTTTCTGTCTCTCTGAGGTTTGAGGCATGCGCAAAGCTGGGGGTTTCTCTGCATGCCTGACAGCTGGAGAGGGGAGGCAGGGACTGTTGCTAAAGAGATTCATCTTGGTACATCAACATTGTTCTCCCCCCAGCATGCCCAGTTAAATGGGAATGGCTAACAAATGGTCTCATCATTGGCCTTTCTTCAGACACTCAATAATTCTTTTTAAAACTGCCCCCTCCAAACTTGACTTGGATTTCTCTTTCCATACGGTTCTGCAGAGCATTTAATTCTCTTTAATGCGGCATCTGTGAACAACTTGATCTCAAATGCAGTTCTGAGTTGTATTGTGTGGCTTGAAATAGAGGGAGGGGGTTGACAAGGCCAGAAGGAGGGAGAGAGGGGGAGTCCTTGGCTTCCATTGGACTAGTGAGGCCAGGCTGAGCCTGATGCCTGTTAAAATGTGATTGCATGGGGTAAAGTAACTTTCACTTGGAAATACTAAAGTGTGAGTTAGTGTGCTGGTGCTGTAAGTGTGATGCAAGAACATCTTCAGCTGTGTCTGGACTGGGGAGAATGATGTGCCAGTTCTTAATACTAGCCTATTCATGTTCTGCCTGACATGACCTAGAAGTGAGCAGGAGTCTGGGTTTTCACTCCTGACTCCACCGGCAACTTGCTGTGTGGCTTATGGGTAAGTCGCTCCTCCTTTCTCTGCCTCCAGTTTCTTACCTGATAAAGAGGGGAAGGGCCGTACCTCCCATAGAGGTGCTTTGAGATGTGCTGAGGAAAATCTGTGTATCAGGGTAGACCTGCATTCTTTTCTTCTGCTGAGCCTGTGTGTGATATAGCTGGGGCTGGGGTGAGTGGGGCCACGGCCCTTTCCCCTCCCCCCACAGACTTACCTGTTTGGGCAGGGGGGCATCTATGCTGATCGCATAAGAGTGAACTTACCTCGCATATAGCGAATTATAGGTCTAAATATGCTCATCGCATAAGAGCGAATTCGCATATAAAGAACCCGCATAAATCGAGGGGAAACCTGTAATTGCCAGGGCTGGGATGGGGATGGAGTGATGGTTAACTTCAAAATCAAAGCAGGATCTTGTCCCTAGGGCCATCATGCCTTGTCTTGATCTG